CATATCACATTGAATAATACTTTGGTGTGATTGGAATCACCACTGAATTTTTAACTAATATTTGCCATAAAAAAGTGTAAAAATAAGTATTGAATAATTTATATGTGACAAAATTTATAGTAATGAGATTTAGAGTATCTAAGTGCAATGCATCAAACTCTTGAAGAGATTTTAGTCAAATAACAGTAAGCTCATAGATTTAAATAATACTGGCATTATAAAATAAGCTAGAGAGCTCTTGTAAAAAAAAAAATTATATGAAATGAACAAAATCTAATGTTGCAACAAATAAAATTATTGTACATAAATTTAAATTATTCATCCCATAAGATCTTTAAAACATGGANATAAGTATTGAATAATTTATACGTGACAAAATTTATAGTAATGAGATTTAGAGCATTAAACTCTTGAAGAGATTTTAGTCAAATAACAGTAAGCTCATAGATTTAAATAATACTGGCATTATAAAATAAGCTAGAGAGCTCTTGTAAAAAAAAATTATATGAAATGAACAAAACCAAATGTTGCACCAAATGAAATTATTGTACATAGATTTAAATTATTCGTTCTATAAGATTTTTAAAACATGGAAGCGCAGAAGAAAACAGATCAAAAACTTTTAAGCTTATGTTATTGAACAGAAAAATGGAATCACACAAAAATAACTACAATAGTTTTGTTTTAAAAATCATGCATTTTTTTATAAAAGAAATAGAAAAAAAAATCTTTTTTCTATATAGAAAAGAAGGAAGGAAAAAGAAACACTTTTTAAGGTAATTAAATAAAAACCTAAATATTTAATGCATAAACTTCAAAATAAAAAAATTACTGGCCATTAAGAATTTTCAAAATAAAAACTTTTAAGTTAGGAAACAAATATCCGATCAAGTATTAAAGTGAGTTTGTCGCCTATAGAAGCATTAAAAGTTTTAAATAAGAAATACTCAAAATTGTAATGAGTAACTATCTATTTTTATTTGGAACCTTAGAACTTGTACCTAAACTAGATTAGAAACAAAAAGCTCTTAGAAAAGAATTTGAAAACTATTAAATAGAAATCTGACAAAATTATCAATTATTTGGCACAAAGTATCGCTATATTTTATAAAAAATAAAGAGATAACAGATGTTCATAGTAATACATGTTGTTTTCAATGCATCGATGTAACATTTGCACAGTGAAATGCAAACCTTCAAATGAATGAATGATATTTTAAGACATATTAAGTTTATAATGAAAAAAGTAACAATCTTTGTTAAATGAACAAAAAAGTATATTTCAATTTACTTTTTTTGCTCTTGTAGTTGTGTATAATATCTTACATAATTAAAAGATTTATATAATCAATATAATTTTATAAACTACAAAATTTGCTTTTTTCTTTAATTTAGAGTTCAAAAAATGACTGCATTAAATGAAGTGTACAAAGACTTATGGCTACAAGATACTTGATTGGTACAAGCTAATTTTGATTCCAATGCACAAGATCATAATATTAATAATAATAAAACTATTTGATGTTAATTTTATATGATATTTGTCATGATTTGCTTATGATGTCATGATATTTACTTCATGCTCATTAATGAATGGGGAACAAAAGGCATGGTAAACTTCTAACATCAGGGCTAATATCTATTTCATAAGACAATTTACATAAATTATTATTTTTAGGCAATCTACTGTAAAACTAAATTAAAATTATTGTATCACTCAAGCAGACTATTGCTAACTTGAGATCAGAGCTATAATTAATTACAGCTTTAAACTAATTTATCAAAATGTCCTTTTAAAGTAAACTAACAAAAAATTGAATTTTGGAATGATATTTAGAATTATATATACAAAATTTCTTTTCCCTTCAATTTAAAGGACACAGACATAAATATTTATAGTTTCGGTTTTCAAAATATAATATAATTTTTATTTTGAAACAGAATAATATTGCTAATTAATATAAAAAATATTACAAGCACTTGACATTATGAGCATACATTATTGCTTCTTTAAAAACTATCTAGCTTTTATCACAATATTGAATTTAAAACTCAACCCAAACAATTTTTTTTGATCAAGAAAATAAGTATATCATAAATATACTTTTATATAGATTTTTTTTTATTAAGCTGCTAAATACAGAATGATCTAAAAATCACAAATTACTGGAGCCTTGTTACTAGAAAAATACCAGACTAAATTACACAAAATATCAGATAATTATGACTATGAGAAATTCTTAAAAAAAGAAGAAGAAAAAAACAAACTATAATTAGAAGAGAAAAAAATGGTAAGACGATTTTAAATAAATTAATATTTATTCTATAAACAATTTCAAATCTGTTTTATATCACTAAATCCACTGTAACTTTGCACGAAAACTTTTAAAGAAAAAATACATTGTTAATTTTTTTTGTAATTTCTTTTTTTTTCTGTTGCAAATTGAATTAATTTTCCAGCAGCAAGGCTTAAAATTTTGTCTATTATTTTAAAATAAGACTTATACAAGGAAAAAAAAAAGTATAGAACACAAAAAATAATTTCTTAATTTTCAGATTAAAAAATAGTTAACAATTGATCTTCAAATAAAATTTAAACATAGAAATGCTTATTGGACTTAAAACAAATTTATAAAGTGCTAATAATTATATATTTCTTTTATATAAATAAAATTTACTTATTTATTTACAATATAAATAACATGAACCAAATAATAATAACAACAATAATCTAAAATAATTTTGTTTCATTGATCAGATTTTCAAGAAATAAAAACCAATGTTAATGGTTCAAAGATTTGACTTAAAATATGCTAACTTATTAGAGTGAACTAATTGAAAATTATTTATTAAGCAATCACTTATTCTGAATAAATCTGCCTTTTTTTTCAACAGATTTGTACTAGTATTTATCAAAATATGGAGAGTAACTATATTACAGAAGGTTCAAAAGTTTAAGTTGAGGGAAAACAAGTTTGGACGACTTAATGCTTTTATCTATTTTGCCACATCTTGGGAACTTTTTGTATATAATTATAAAACTTTTACACAACATACAAAAAAAATCTTGAATAGCAAGGTATAAAAATTTTAAATAATGTAATATTTTAAACAATGAATTTAAACATTTAAAACTACATTGAACACAAAATTTAAAGAAAATAGTGTATTAGACAATTTTTCACGAATTTTGTATTTTGAACTTTATATTTTAATGTAGAAATTTATATACCATACAATCTAAACTTTTTTTCACCATCAATTAATAGTGAGCAATAATTTTTTGAATAGCTGAAAAAGTTTCAGAGATTTGCAGAAATATATCAACAGTGAAATAATCATTAAGAGGATCAAATTTTCTACAGTTACTGTTCAAACATATTAGGGCAACTTAAATTTAATGGTCAAAAACTCAAATTTGTCAGAAAAAGGCTTGCTTACAGAAAAAAAGTACATTTTTTCTGTTTGATTTCATAACTTTATTAATGGTTAGTACAAATTAACTAAAGCTTGTAAATGGTTAGCACATATTTGAAGTCTCCCTTTCAAACAATTAACGTTAGTAATTAGTACATGAAAATACGATTATTAAAACAAGTTTTTTCCCGCTAATTTTAATTGAAAACAAACAATACAATCATAAAATAATAAGATTGAATTTACTTTTAGCAAATTTTTAAAAAGCAAATTCGTAGACAAGAAATAAATTAGTCCTGATTTCTCTTATAGAAACAAGATTAAATATTACATTTAGAATCAGTCTCCCAAAATCATCATTAGTTGACTAGAGTATCTTGTGACTGTTTTAGTAAAAAAAAAAAAGTTATAATAATTTCTCAAGCACTAAGTGAAAATTGTACCATTTAATGCATTTTTTTAAAAGAGTAATCAAACAAGAAAAAAAGTTTAAAAAAATGCCTGTTTGGATTATTTTAGTTTAAATATGTGAGAAAAGCTTTGTAGAATTATTTTTATTCACAATAATTTAAAATACACTTAAGTAATTTTTAGGCAGTTAATTAAAATAAAGCAATCAACTATAATGGAAAATATTAGTCAAGAAAAATAACACAAGAAATTATATAAAATATTTTGCAGCCAGAAAAAGTTAACTATACCTTATTGCTTACAATAATTGTGTATGACTAGAAAGATGCTGAATAATTAAGTAATAATCTTTAACACAGTTTAACTTAAACTATTGGCCCTAAAAACTAAATTTTTTTCTATAAAAAGAAATGTCTTAATGTTAAACAATAAAAAATTTCTTTTAAAAAATTCACTTAATTTCTACAGTTAAATTACAATAAAAAGCAATATAGTACCAAAACTTTTTAATTCATAGTTCGAATATAAAATAACAAACATAAATATCACATTAAATGAAAAACTTCATTGCTTATTACTGTTTTATATCTCTTTCAACAAAATCATTTAACTATTATTTCTAATAGTAAATAAAATGAAATATTTTGTATTTAATCCTGTTTAAGTTCTAAAATATATCTATAAATTTAAAAAAAATGACAAGTGGCAAAAGATATATTAAACTAACTTTGATTTTAAAGAGCTGATTCTAGTTATAAGAAACTAAGCTTTAGACACAGATTTTGAGGAAAGTATTATTCATAAAAATACAATATTACTTCATAATATATAAAGAGTACAATATAATTTCATAAGAGACATTTTACTAATTTCATATAATAATGGCCATTTATCCGAGTTTCATTAAATCTGGAATATATTTTACAACAAGTAATGACTTCAAACTTCATATTTCACCGGTATCAGTAAACAGGAAAACGTTTCTTGAAAATCTATTTCTTCATTAACAATTAAAATACAATTTTTTACAAATTAGAAAGAGGAAGCCATAGAAATGGATAAAAAATAATTCTAGAATTAATAACGCTAAATGTGTATATACTAATAAAAATTTAAGTCAAACATTTTTTTAATTTTGGACAGATACTAATCAAATTAATTTTGGTTGAATATTCATAGATCACAAATGCTTTTTGAAAGACAATGTGCCACACTTAGGCAAACAAGTGCCATACTTATGCCAAATATATGCCATATTTAGGCAAATTTTTTGTCTAAGAAGACTAGTGCTAAATAATCAATTTTTATATTTAAACTAAATGAAGAGAGAAATTAACTTCTAATCAGTGTTGCATCATAAGTTTCGTAGTTGTACCAAATGACTTAATACCTTTAAGTAGAAGATAAATATGATGAATTTCAATTAATATTTCATTCATGTAAGACTATTAAAAAATGTCAGTTTTATAATCATGATTTTTTTTCTTAAAAAATAAAACATAGCTCTGAGACATATACATGATGAAATATATTGGAAGTAGTGATGAAATACATAAAAAAAAATATACAAGTCAAAAAATACAGCAATGATCACAAATATAATAAAGAATAAACAGTAAGCAAAGTAATTATCTTCCTTTTAATTTAAAAATCTGATAAACTTAATATTCTAAAATGTGTGAGTAAATACTTTTCCTAAAGTAGTAGAATACTTTTCAAAATCCACATGGAATCACATAAAAGGGTAGGGGGAAAGAGTTTTCCTCAGACTAGTAAGCTCTTTATATGCCGAGGTGTTGCCTCATCATTTAAATGCTTTGTAGTATACCTATGTCATTTAAAAAACATTATAATGCAAATTTAGAAAAGAGACAATAACAAAAGACATTTAATTTAAACATAAAAAATATGAGGTGAAATTTTAAAAAAAAATGTACCATATGGAAACAGAATTTAAAGATAAAGCGTCAAATCTGTGTTAGGATTTTCAAACATACCTACAATATTAATATTTTCAACAATAAAATTGCTTAGAGGCATTTCACACTGATCAAACTTTCGGGTAATAGGCATGAAGTAGAATACAAAACTATGCTTAATCATAGCAATAGAATGTTGTCAAACAAATTGGCCACTTTTGTAAGTTGATCACCTATCCAAAGTGACCTCCATAATCAAGAACAGAATTTAAATTTCTTAAAATTAAAGATAGTAAAACCTCAGTGATCTGATGTTGTATGTTGAATATAGAAATTAGTTAAATTTGAGTAAAAATATTATAAAATGCTATTGTAAACCTTTCACACATTGACCAGAAAAATATTTTTCATGAATATTTTTATGTAACGAGATCACGCATCTACAAAAAATTTATTTTGTAAGCAAAACAAAAATAATTTAAAATTATAAAATAAAGATATAACATTAAGTTTTCGAATTCCATAAGTTCATGTGTCTAAATATTAAAAAAAAAAATACTTGATAATAAAAAACAGGAATGCTAAAGAAACAAATAAGCATATTTTTTTTAATATATCAATTTAATATTAAGTTTGTGTAATAAATTGTAGTACTTTCAGCAGTTAATCACATTTTAAAGCAAGCAACGTTTTAAAGTAATTAAAAAAATTCATTACATTTATCAATATTTTGATTGGAAATATGAATGCTGATGTAAGAAATTATTTTAAGCAAAACTGATTCATTCTCTCCAATAAATGGATCACCCGTTTCATCATTCATGGAAAAATTAACAACAATCGTCAATTTACACAGGTTTCACTGTAATGATATTTACTATACAAAAGTGTGTGGTCATTTAAATTTAAAATATATGCCCACAATATTACTTATTAACAATCAGGGAAAGTATGATTTTATTTTTAGTTAGTTAATGGTTATCACAAATAGTATATTTCAAATGCTCAATTCGAACCATTAAAAATTGTTATGTGGTCGAGGGAAAAAATTATTGTTAGATAAAAAATTCTTCCCCAAACTTGGTTTTTTTTAATGCTCATTTGTTGTTTATTGCATTTTCTTTAAAAAAAAAATTAGGTATTTTAAACAATAACTAATTCTAACTAGTGTTTATTAATCAGCCTTATTATATAATAATGGGGGAGATATTCTTCTGTAATATCTTTTATTTGAAATATCTTTATAAATTAAAATAATACAGTGAGGAAAAGAAATACAAGATTTGAGCTAACAAATGACTAATCCTTAATTTGAAATTTTTTTCATGCTTAAAATATGTTATGCAAAAACACTTTTTGAGTTATAAATTATTCTACAGCAATACACAGTAACAAGTAGAATAAAATTTTAAGATAAATTTAAATACAGAAAGACTTTTTAACAGAAAAAGTAAATGTATTAGACTGAAATGACAGTATTGCATTTTTGCTAGCTACATTTTTCATTGTGTAAAACGTATTAGCGTTTTATATAATATAGATTAGCCATATGATGCTAACTACGTGCTCTTGCGTGCCGAAGCCCATCAATTAAAAATGAAAACTGCTGCCAATGCGAGAAAAGAAATATCATTGGTTTTATTGATACATATGTATTAGCGTTTTATATAATATAGATTATTTATTTCTTTGTTAATCTCTTAAAAAATAAAAATAAATAAGAGAAAAGTCACTCAATAAAAAAATTTTACAAGTTAAAAAATTAAAACAATAAATAATGTTATTTTCGTCCATAACAAGATAAAAAAAAGTTGAAAATAAAAATGATTCCAACACAACTTTATAAAGTAGTTATATAAGAAAAAGGTAATATTTCAATTCATTTATTTCTGAAAAAATAAAAATAAAATGAAATAGCAACAGAAATGAGGTTAAAAAAAATAAATATTAGTTTCATTTCATCATGAAATTTTCAACAGCAAAATTGGCATTTGAAGTTTAATTAGTGATTAAAGCAGAAGGTTACTTTGCATTAGAAAGCTTTAATATTTTTTGAGAATTTTAACAAAATTAGCAACTGTTTTAATACAGGAATAGCAATTTTTGCACTCCTGAAAATTCAAAGAAAATGCAAAAAACCAACCAACCAACCTTAATGCATTCAAAAGACCTTCAACAACATTTGTAGGATGATCCTTCAACACTTTGATGCATCCCTTAACCTAAAAGTATAATTAAAATATAAATAAAAATATTTTTGTCCTGAAATAAAGTGTTTCGATAACAATAATAAACTTTTTTAACTTTGAACTCATTAAGAAAACACAAGATAAACAAGTTTCAACAAGACTGTCTATGATTTTTAACATTTAGCTTGAACTCTATGACTCATAAAGATTTAAGCATTGGTCTTGAATATTTAATTTTATAGAATGTTTCAGTTTAATATAAAGGATTGTTTCTAACTAAATACAATATTCCGACTCGGTAAATAAACAATTTAATATTCTTTTCTTTAATATATTAATTATTTCGTAAAATTACATTTAATTGCAATATTATTATTAGGGTACTATAAGATAATTACTATGCTTAGAAGAAAGACTTATAACTTGGTATTTATAAACACTTAATAACAAACAATCATAAAATTTAGAACCATAACTTGATGTTTTGCATAACTAGACACAAATTTTTGAACTAAACACAAATTTTTATATAAAAATCCCAGAGCCTAATAAAAAATTACATTTAGTCATTAAATTCATACATATATTTTTTTATAAAGGAAATTGTTTTTTTTCACAGTTCAATTTACAGTACTATTGGTTATACAGTTGCTAAATCAGTATACATTCCCAAAAGGTTAATTTGATAATTTATCAAGATTAGAGTTTGAAACATTTATCTGCAATATATTATAATGCAAAGGTTTAAACTAATAAAATATATTTAATTGAAGCACAGTAAAATAAATTAATACATTACATCTATATGAGCATTTCTACTGAATGCGCCAACTGGATGTACGTGGTCATATAGAATAATTAATCCAACCATGACTCTAAGAATAAAAAGTATCGTGTCTTCTCGATGAAATCTGGAACAAAACTCTCTAAAAGGAATATAGAAACAACAAGCATTAAAAAAAATACTAAGATTAACAAAATAAACTATTTTAAAGAGCTTCCACTCTCTTATCAAAGCAAAAATTAAGGAGTTTTAAGGACTTCGTTTTTTGTTGAAAAAATAAAATGATTTTTTTTAAACAATTAGGAATGATTAAAATAGAATAATAATTATTTATCATCAAATATGCATATACCCTCAGCGACAGTACTAATTATTTAGCTTTTTAAACACAATTTCATTATTATTGCAAATACTAATATAATTGTATTTATAACGGAACTGTTTTAGCACAATCAAAAAGTTACTAATTTTCAAAAATTAAAATTTTTTGCACCTTGAAATATTCTATAAAATTTTTTAGAAATGGTTGTTTTCTTTATGGACAGGAGTTCAAAATTTTTTTCTGTAAATTCTTTTCCATAAACACTTGCACTACCAGTAGGATTGAATTTCTTGAAATCTTTTGATATCTTAGGTCAATGTGGGTACCTCGAAATTGCCAAAAAGGAGGCATGTCTTCAACTTGTAGTATCCCCCACACCCTATTCTATTCTTTCAGGAGTCTCATTTTAGATAGAAGAATATTTCAATAAAAGGACAACAGTAAGGACAGGATTTCGTCCCTTTGCTTGTAGGGTAGGCCCCTACTCACACACCCTACTTCTCTCTTAAAATGCTCTATTCCTCATGCAGAATCTCATTCTAGACAAAAAAATTTTGACATTTTTGTTTTAAATATTTTATATGACTAAAAAAATTTCTTTAATCAACTAATGATATTTAAAAATTGAGGATTTTAAAAATCTTGAAACAAAAAGTTTAAGTTTTTAGTTGTTGAAAATGTTAAGTTGCTTGTTTGAAAGTTTAAGGGTCCTTATTTTCTAAAATAAAAATTAACCAGTTTCGACGGGTTTTTTAAGAACTGTGGGAATCCAGTATTTTTTATAAAACATTATTGTTAATAGATCATGAAATATTATTATTGCAAAATACATTTGTATTTTTTGTTGACTTGATATTGGATATTTTCAAAATTCTTTCTAACAAATGAAAAACTTGGGCAAATAGAATAAGTTATACTTTCAATTGCTCATGAAGGCGATTCTGGTGAAAATCAACACTCCATGTGTGCAATAAGATGTTTTAGTGTAATATGCTGTTATGTGGTAGAAATTCAAGATACTTGAGTAATACAAACTGGAAACAATATCAAAAAACAATTTAATGCAAAAATGTATTTTTTGGAAAACTTATCATAAGATTGCCCTAAGCTTAAAAATATAAACAAAAGCTCAAACAAATAATGAATAGTTCAAATCAAATTCCACAATATATGCTTATTTTTTAACTCACGGATTTTCAATCATTCTTTGGCAAACTTTTGCCATGGTTCCCAGAGTTTCAGTAGTGTTTTCAATGGGTAAATCTTTATTTTCTGCAACAAATCTGGTGGTTGCATCACTTAATACTTTTAACATTGGAGTAGCATGTGCATAAAACAAAGACATTCGATTTGCCAGTTCATTTGGTACTTCTAATTCATCATCTGTGGGATCCTATATGAATTATATAGCACATAATTAAGAAGAAGAATTTCATTTATAAGAAATAAAATGAAATTTATGTGCCAATTTACATTCACACTATTTATATTTCGATCATCATTTATAATTCAATTCTAAGATAGAATTTAAAGTAAAATATTGCATTTCTTTGTTTTTTTTATTGTACAAACTTATTGTTACAATATTCTCATCAGGTTTTGGAAAGAAAAAAAATCCACATTTCGACAATTTCAGGACACTTGTAAAAACCAGTAAAACTAACTTGTACTTCTGCATCCAAGAATGCCTTTCATAAGTGTGGAACTCTCGTGCTATATTATAAAGGCTTTCAAAAATTTATAAATAAATAAAAATAATTTACTTAACTATGAATTTACTTTCTTTACTTAAACTAAAAACTCAAAGAAACATTTAAAAAAAAAGTCTAAGAACTCTCCAAATTTTCTAGAAACCTGTGTAATTAAAGATTATACATAATAAAATACTTTTGACACGCACAAGTGCACAATAAACATTAATATATGGAAAATGAAAAAATTAAAGTGAATTACAGTCGGACTTCTACTTAACGAACTTCCATTTTACGAATTTCTCTATTTTGCGAATTTTTTCATGGAATTTTGGAACATTTTGGAAATTTCTTCGTTAAATAACTTCTAAATAGCGAAGTGAATTTTCTATTTAACGAATTTTTTTTTTNAGATTATATATAATAAAATACTTTTGACATGTGCAAGTGCACAATAAACATTAATATATGGAAAATGAAAAGATTAAAGTGAATTATATATATATATATATATATATACACACAGGGTTCATACAGAGATCAGAAGAAATCCAAGGAGTATCCAAGGAGTCCAAAATTTTAAGGAATTATCAAAAATTTAAAAACTTGTGTAAAAGATAACTAGATAGTTTTTTTAAATTAAAAAGCAGTTATTATAAGGAACTTGCAAAAATGTATATTTTGCATATTTTTTCTAGCCCTTTTGAAATAAATTTTGACTTTGCCAAACTTCATCGAGAAAAATAAATAAAGTTATCACTTTTACACATAAATACATTTTTCAGTTTCAAATATTTCAATAAATCTTGTTAAAAATACATTTTTGAGTTTCAAATATTTTAATAAATTTTGTTAAAGTACATATGTTAAAGATTAACATAAAAACCTACCAATCTTATATTTTTAAATTTGAATACATAAAAAAAAATCTAAGGCCTTTTATACAAAAAAAAAATTCACAGTAAATTATTAATTAAGTTTGCTTGTAACATGCGAAATTAAAATTATTTGCTGTTATTTTTTTCTTCTAACTCTTGCAATTCAATTTTTTTTTCTTTTGAAGTGTCTCTTAAACTATTAGATTTTGACAGCTAAGTCATATCATTTAAGTTCCCTGCTTGGGCAGCATATTCATCAACGGACTTAGTAAGTACATCTATGCAATGCAATAATCCAAGGAGTTTCTAAGAACTAATTTGGAAATCTAAGTAGTTCCAAGTACTCCTTGGAGGCTTTTTTATTTTCAAGGAGTTTCTAAGGAGCATAAGGAATCTGTATGCACCCTGCACACACTACCAAATAATAATTTATTGTAAGAATAAGAAATTATTAAACATTTCTAAAAAAGATGCATTGCTGAATTTAAATATTCAGTTGACAATTTCTGTTTGACTTTTAAATAATACATATAATTTGTTGCTGTCTAAAGTACATATATATGTACTAAATTACTAATACTGTAATACTTCTACTATATTTTTACAATTAACAACAATTTTTGCAAATTCTTATGACAACTAGACAAACATGTGTATTAAATTACTAAAAATGCAACAAATTTTCCAGTTATCTGGAACATAAAAAACTGAAGAGAAATATACCCTCAGAAATTTTGCATTTAAGAATAAAAAAAATTTAATTAATATAACAAACAATTATTTGTCAGCTTTAAACTTTCCAATACAAAGTCGAGGAAACAATCAATATAATAGCAAGTTTAATGAGAATAAAATAATAAACTTACAATAATAAAATAATTGTTTTTAAATTGTTTAATTGCAATCCGTTTTCTTAAATTGTTTAAACTTTATGACCAAAATTTACAAATCTTGGCTCAATAAGGATATTGGCCCCACATAGAATTGTCCTATTCACCCGATATTTTACAACCAATATTGCTCTACATAGAATTGTCAGATTCACTCAAAATTTAATATTCATTATTCAGCCAATATAGACCATTGAAGGACCAATATTAAAAAATCTAGATATCTCAATACTGGTCAATCAGTGCACATTCTTATAGGACCTATATTGAGCCAATTGTGAGCATAGCTGAGGACAAGGTAATAATGTTGTTAAGGAAGAAACAATATAAATAAAATGTAAAGAACAACAATAACAAATAAATATGCAGAAAAACAAAAAAATCAAATAAGCAGAAAAATCTTATCCTGAACTTTAATATAAATTAGTTAAGTTAAAGATGCAAACCTGATTAGCTAAACGAAGCCTGTTTACAGTTCTTCTGTAATAGCTAAAATCATTTTGAATAGCAGGATTCGTCATCTGTAACAGTATAAATATTACTTTAGATTGATAAAATATAAATAAGAAAGATTTTATGCAAAGGTTAAAAATTATGCAACAGAAAAAAGACAAAATTAGAAAAAACTGGTGTGAGAGATCAAAAGAATTGGATTTATTTTATTGAAAAATTGACATGAATCACCCATTTTACTTTGCATGATTTTGCACTAATTTTTGACAGTCAGTGTTGTTAACAAGGGGGGTAAAAATTTTTAGTTAAAAGGTTATATCACATAATTTTATTTCCATTGTATAAGGTTTACAAATTTAGAAATAAGAGCTTCTACACACTGAAAAAAAATTATTTCATTTTATTATTAAATTTAAAGAGATTTATTTGGACTTAAGAGTAATATTAAGACCTTAATTTATTGAACGTTAAAAGAATTTTTAACTTTGCCATCATTAATGATAGATGGTGGAAGGTTTGGAAATTGAATTACTTTAAAAGTAAATGGTAAAATCAAATAATGTAAACAACTTAATATTTAATAAATAATACAATAAAAAATGCTTTAATTGATGAATTGATGCAAAAATAATACCAATAACGAGACTAAGTTTTCAGAAAAGTAAAAAGTTCATAACATTGGACAAAAATACACAATGTAAAAGAAATATCAAACATCAAAATAATAAATACTACATTACTTTAAGGTCATCAAAAGTTAGCACAAAATCCAAAACTTCAGCAAATTGTTTAACAAGTGCTTGCTGCATCTTTAAGTGCTCAGTGGGTGTCAAAGGCCCTGAACTCAGCTCCCACAAAATACGAGGAACTATGGCATCTAGAACAACACATTTCTTTTAGTTAAAAAAAAGGTTAATTGAGAAATAAAGACAAAAAGATAATTCTAAAAATAAGAAATTGTAGTGTGAAATAAAATGATACATCTGTTAATAAGAAATCGAGACCCTGAGTTGTGTTTTCTTTGGAGCTCTAAATTTTCCATGCTTCAGCAATTTCATTGTATCCTACAGATATTCAAGAGGCCTGCTACATTTTAAAGGCATTGCCTGTAAGGCAAGTTGCTGTAGAAAGACTATTTTCGGCATTAAAATACATTTATAATAAAATTATGATTTAATACAAAGGAGCATTTATTACATTCAATTCTTTTCTTAAAAAAGAATAAATAACTCAACTGTAAATTTAATTAAATTTGGATTTTTTGGATAAGCTAATAACTATGTTAATGTTTTTTTTAAAAAAAATTTCTAAATAAAAACTGAAACTTGTAAGTGCATATAAATATACATTAAAATTAAATAAAAAAATGTATATATTAGATATATATCAAAATAGATTAAACTTATTATCAGGGAGTAGAACAATTATCTGGGAAATTGCTTTTGGCTCCAGGTTCCGGGTAACGAGTTATAATATGAAAAGTATGCATTTCCAAAAAAGGAAGAATTTTACTTGAAGATGAAATTTTTAAATAAGAAACTGTAAACAAATAGGGATATATATATATATATATTTTTCAAAGAACATAACAAAAATTTTGATGAAATCAAAAATACAAAGGAAAACATTAAAAGCTTTTTCTTATCTTCAAAATAAACATTTTGTACAAAGAAGTTGAACCTGAAATATGTTTCAATTTCTAAGTCAAACTCTTTAATATTCCAAGAGATTTTTTTTTTCACTTAAAATTTTATATAGCTAATAAATTTGAAAAATGTAAAATATTTTCAAAATAGCTAATGTAATAATTGTACAGCCACATTATGCTATTCCATATCTATTATAAGATCATTTACAATATTTTTTTCTTAATAATGAAACTCTGCTGTGTGAATAAAAATTAATTATTACAATAATTAGTATTTACTTAAAACTCAACATTATAGAAAAAGACATTTTGCAATATTTTAAAAATTTAATTTTACACAGAAAATTTCTCATAAAAATGTCTAAAATATTATATGAATATTTTTTAATCAAGCAAAATTATGTGTTTGTCCCTAAATAAAAATTGTGGTTAAAAGAAAATTTGTATTTAGTAAATATTGGTTAATAGGTTCTCAATAGCATTAAGACACAAACATCATCCAAATTATTTGATGTTCAATGATAACTACCGTACTTAGCATTTTATTATAAATAGCCAGTAATATAAAAATGTGAAAGTTCATTTCATGTATTTTAAATATATTTTAGTGAAATTAATAAGATTACTAAAAATTAAAACTATAAATGCTTATAATTTTTAATTCATTTAAAGATAATTTTTAATATCAAAAACAATAACTAAAAAGCCAAAAGTATTCTGTTTAAAAAGATACAACAACTTGTGCAAGAGATATAAAATTAATTATCTTATAATAATATTTGAAACACACAAATAATAATAATAATAACCAAAAAAAAAAGTGTAACAACTACCTAATTTTTGAGAAAACTCATAGAACTCTCTTAATTTAAGAACTAATGGTATAACAGCTTCCCAAGCTCTCAATTGAAGTTCTTCATTGTGAGGTTTTGCAATTGCCTGCAAACAACAGATCTTATTTTGTACTTTAAAGAAATAATTAAATTGAATTGATGAGTTCAAAAACAGGTAAACTAAAGTGAATTTCCCAGTAGAGATCTGTTTTTAGACTCATTAATTCAATTATAAACAATAGAAAACACATTAAAAAAATAACAGTGTCAGAGGTAACCCAGGATGAGTTCATTTATACTTTATATATGAGTTCATTTATACAGTGGTATGCCGCCTACTTGAATTACTATCACATCATAGTAGGCTGTTCTATTAATATTTTCAATAAAATATACTTTTATGCATTAACAATAATCAATTGTTATCAATATTAACACTACATAAATGTTGTTATAATTTTTATTATTTATTAAATTTTTTGATGCGTTAAAATGATTAATACATACAACAAAAATTGACTTAACAAAATGCAGTACCTTTCAGGGAGATTTTAGGAGAAATTTGGGTTAATACAAAATAGTTTACTGTTAAAGTGGAGCATCAATAAAACTTTTTAGCTTAATTCCTAGACAGCTTTAATTCCTATATTTAAAACTAATTTTCTTTTTTGGAGGACATGGTTTCAATGTTTCTCTTTCATGATTGAGGAAATATTTTCTCCTCTTTTTCTTTTTTACATTTATATTTTAAATTAAAACAAAGACTGCGTGCAGGTGTTTCTTTCAAACATTCTAAATATTCAGCTTCATTAATGCTCAGTTTATTCCTCTCAATGAAGTTTATTTTTCTTTTGCTTTTCTTTCTTTCCCATAACAATTCTTAAAATGCATTTATCAAAATAAAACTGATTTTTTTTTTTTTTTTGAAGATTTATTTTGCTAGTTAAAATGTGTCCCGAAAATAGATGTTTCTCGTACACCAATATGGAAATTTGTACTTACACTTTTTAGAAGAATAAAGAAAATTTTTTTTTAAAAATTATTAAAAATTTCTTTTTTCAAAAAAAGAATACTTTAAGGTGTTGATCTTTATGGTACCGGACTTTAAGGTACCCTAAACTTAAATTACCTAATTTTCCCTGACTCTTTCGCTATTTATTTTAGTGTTGACCCCCTGGATGAAATTGCATGGATTTTTACTATGCACTACTCTCCCATTGTATAACATGAAAAGAGCCAGTTTTTTGATGGACTTAAGCTTGCAGCTTTAAAAGTTTGAGAAAAGTGGGAACTAACACCCAGAAGGCTAAATAAAATTCCTGATTTTTTTCCAGGATTAAAAAATTCCCCGTAATATGAACATCCAGTATGTGTTTGATTTGATATGCATACTATTTGATTATTTTTTTAGATCTCACCTCTATACTATTTCTTATTGTGAAGAGAGATATTTATCATCTCAGTGATAAACAGAATTTTTTATACTTCCATTCCCAAAATCAAATATGAATATTTTTTTTTAATTACAGAAGAGCTAATATGAAAGAAAAGAAAAAAAGGAACTCATAATAGTGCATTTGAAGTAAAAAAGTTGCACATTTTAATTTTAAGATAGTTACATGTCATGTGTTAGTGTTTACATTCAGAATGATTACATTACAAGGAAATATGAATATAGATCTATTAAGCAAAAGTGTTTAAATAGTAGTAAATTATCAACATAAACCAAAAATGAACTGAAAGCAAAAATAATTCAATTTGAATTCAAACAATGGTCTTAATGGTAACAGGATGCGTAGCCAAACCTTTCAACAAAAAATAAGCACCTTTTAAGTACTTTTTAAGCACTATGAACATTAACAAAATGCAAAATAATTTTCAATGACTTTACATGATCATGATAAAATAACTAGAATTTGACAAAGAACTCTTTTTCTTTGATTATATTAGCCTTTAAAAAATGATCAAGAGAATTTTCGGTTCGATTTCAGAGGGTGGAAAATGAAGCTTGAAATTGAGAATATCTTGCAAAATGCAGCAGAGTTGCACATGAGAGTGCAAGAATCTCACCGAACCCAGCTCACTAGATGCACACACAGACTCGCAAGTATTTCATCAAACCNGATGGACTTAAGCTTGCAGCTTTAAAAGTTTGAGAAAAGTGGGAACTAACACCCAGAAGGCTAAATAAAATTCCTGATTTTTTTCCAGGATTAAAAAATTCCCCGTAATATGAACATCCAGTATGTGTTTGATTTGATATGCATACTATTTGATTATTTTTTTAGATCTCACCTCTATACTATTTCTTATTGTGAAGAGAGATATTTATCATCTCAGTGATAAACAGAATTTTTTATACTTCCATTCCCAAAATCAAATATGAATATTTTTTTTTAATTACAGAAGAGCTAATATGAAAGAAAAGAAAAAAAGGAACTCATAATAGTGCATTTGAAGTAAAAAAGTTGCACATTTTAATTTTAAGATAGTTACATGTCATGTGTTAGTGTTCACATTCAGAATGATTACAATAAGGGGATGTGAATCTAGATCTATTAAAAGACTCTGAAAAAGAGTTTCACTTAGTAAATTATCAACATAAACCAAAAATGAATTGAAAGCAAAAATAATTCAATTTGAATTCGAACAATGGTCTTAATGATAATCTTGTAGGAACTGTTTTTAATAGGCATTTGCTTTTGAATGGGAGGTCTTATGGCATGAATACAAAATTCTGAATAAATTGATTGAGAACTACAGATTTCCATAAGAATCAGGAGTTTTATACAATAGATATAAGCAATTACTAAAGTATAAACAGTAATCAATTATTGAGCAATATATTTCTTTTCGATTCACAAACTGGGTGACAAATTCTACAATGTTTAATGTTATATTTCGCTTAATTTTAAGTGTTCCGTAGAATGTAGAAATACCAATTAAATAAAAGTACATAATAAATAACAAAATATTTAATTAACCTCTCTAATTGCATTGCCTGCTCCCTGATATAGTTGAAGCTCAATAAGTATTCTTTTGGAATGTTGAAGGACATCATGAACTAGTCGATAAGTTTCCTCTTCCATTTGTGTCGGTTGAGCATCTACATAAGGAGAAATTTTTTTTAAAAATTGGTTAGTGATAAAATTTAGCAATTTATTATGTAGAATACAACTTCATAAATCATAGAACTTCACGAGAAAAGAGTATGCCTTTTACATATATCAAACTATTTTTACATATTTTAATCCATTTTGTCTTCAAATTAACTAGCATAACAATATGCCGAATTTTGGGTACTTGAATTAGAAATTTTTAAATACAAAATTTGTTCCTTTAATATAATTCAAAAAATAATTTTTTTTGTTTTTAAATTTAAATTTGAGGCATAAATTTTTCATGTACCAAAACTTTTTTCTATATTTCAATTTATGCCCAATAATGTAAGAAATATTTTCGTCGAGACCTTTTTGTACAATAAGATTTGGTATGGGAAAAGTTGTCTAACAGTTTTTAATAATTTTTTTCGAATTTCAATATTTTTTTAAGAATTTCATAACTGATGCATAAAAGAATTTTAATCTTTCTTAAATGAAATTCTGTTTGAATAATAAATATGCTGTAATAATATTGTAAGATTAATTTCATTATTACAAAATTGGCTTACTTTCGAAGTCAACAAAAACATCATACTTTGGAGAATCATCCCGTGATAATAACCTTAGAAGATTTCCCATTCAAAATTTTATAATCCTACAAAAGAAATAAAAAGTATTGATATAAAAGAGACAAAAAAAAATTTAAGCAAATTACATAATAGTAAAATTAATTTGAATTAAAGAAGTGAAAGTCATAGACAGAGGAAAGTTAGCCAAGATTTTGCAAAAGAAGTATAATTTTATTTTATACATTCAGCACTCTTAAATGTAAATAATTTTAACTATTGAAGCTCTTGTATGAATTTTAGTATTAAAATAATCAGAAAACGTGCATTACTATGTATCTTCTATCACTAAATCCAATAAACAAATATACATTAAGTTCAATAGAGAACAGTACAAGTAAAAAATAGGTATAAATATAAAATAACATCAGTCACCAAGACTGTCATGAAGTTTGAAATAAATTTTTAAAGTGATTTGGAGAATAAAGTTAGTCCCCTCATTGTACCAGAAAAGCCATAAATGTGGTCCTTGTTTCAAAACATCTAGTAGACTTTAACTCTCTAAGTACAATAGTTTTGAAGAAGAAAAAAATATAAAAATTTAAAAGGTTATTTTTTAACAAATAAAATTCAAGTTTTTGGGAAATTGTTTTTAAAAAATTATTATAATTTCAAACCCTTATGTGAAAGAATTTTTAAGATAATAATTAAATGGCAAACATTATTAAAAAATTGATTAAATATTAGATTTAAATGGAAAATATCAGTTATGCTACATAAAACTTAAATAACATATAGAATTTAAATAAGCTGATCAATAGGTACTGTAAACTAAGATGGAGAATAAAAAAATTCTCTGTAATACACTCCTTGGTTAATAAAAAATATAGATATATAAAATTTAATCGCTATCCAGGTAATTTAAGAGCTTTCACAATAAAGAAAACTGTAAAAGACTGCTATTTTAAGTATTAACAAGGACAGTATATGAACTTTTTTTCATTGTTATTTAGCTCAATATGTTAAAAACTGAGAAAATTTTTAATGGTCCCATATTTTTACCTATTCGACTCTTGCACATTGTTATGCTGTGCCATAATTATATGATATGATCACATTACAAGGTTTTATTCATGACTTGAACTGGGTCAATTATGGGTTTACAAAATCATACCCCATTGTAATTGAACTAAAAACAAATAAGAAATAACACCTTATGCTACCTATAGGATGAAAAAACTTCTTTTATTCAAGGCTCGTGCGCTTTTTTTTATATTAAATTATTAAAAATAAACACTGTTGGTAATAACAATTATGTTTATTATATTGAAATAGTTCTGACAATTACGTTACACTTAATAGTTATGGTACACAAAATTAGATTTTTATATCATAAGTTCTTAAATACAATTTCTTTTCTTTCTTTTTTTTTAAAGATGAGAGAGCACTAAATTTTAAAAATATAAATATTTTTTATAATCTTTTGTAAAAATATTTGAGTTTAGAACGAAACTAATCAGGAAAAAGGAAGTAAACGTATCTTTAACTTGAAATTTTAACAAATCCATAATATATTAAAAAAAAAAAACTATGTAGAAAATACAGGATTATCACAGATAAAATTCAAGAAAAACTAATTTAAAAGGAATGAAATTTTGATGTCATGTTTAATATATAAAATGAAATGCTTATAATAGCATTTGTATGCATAAAAATTTCTTTTCTTAGAAAATGATTATATTTAATAATATAACAATTAACACAAAGTGAATTAAACAGGCTTAAGTTGATTCTCTTTTCAACATTTAGATATGATTATAATAGCTTCTAGTAATTTAATAACAAAGCTATCAGAAAGCATAATAACTAATAGAAAAAAGCTCTTTTATAAAATAGCATATGCTACATAATAGGCAAAGTTTACTTTTAACACTAACATTTTATATTGTCAGTTGATAAAAAACATTTAAAAAGGATGCGTCACAATTTAGAGCATATTCCCAACAGTTTTACAAGCAAAAAAAAAAATTAATAGTCCTCTATCACACTTTTACTAATTTCAGAAAATATTTCTCTTCAATACAACTTTTCCATATCCATTAATGTGATAAAAACTGGTTAGTTTGTAATATAGGAAAGACTTCTTTTTAAAACATAGCTTTGTACATGCTTGTACATAAAGGGTTTAAAATGAACTTAATTAAAAAAAACTGACCACACTCTAAAAAACAAAATCATTTTTTTTGAAAAATCTGTTTATTGCAAACTCAATTTTACAAAAGCAAAAGAAACAAGATAAAAACTTAACAATTTGGAAACTGTAAGTGAACCATATACTTATATAGGTTAATAACATGCAAAAAAGAAGGTATTAAATCAATAAGAAATATATAAAACAATTCAATAAATGACTTCTGAATAGCAGTTATTCCACCTATGCAGTATAACACATCAACTCTACTAAAAATCTTAGAGATGATGTGAAAAATAAATTATTACGCACCATATCAGGACCAGTAATTTTTTAGTAGGGGAAAATAATAAGGCACCAGCAGATTTATGCAGACAAAATTATAATTGCCTAAATATAACTCTTCTTGTTCAGGAATTTTTTGTTTTATCCATCAGATACAATAATTATGAATAAGAATCATAATGAATGGTTAAAGAGGTACAGAATTCATAATTTAAATATGAACAGATCTTAAGTAAAAAGGACCCAGAAATCTTGAATATAACGAGTAGTCCCAGGGACACAAAGAATAGCAGAATCTCTGAATAGTTACTCTGTGCATAGACAGGGCCCACGATAAGTACTCACCACCTTGCCAAATGCAATAAGATCATAAATTCGCCGAAAAAAATTGTGTTTGGCAAAAGTAAAAAAAAAAAAAAAAACTGTAAAAAAAAAAAAAAACGTCCAAAAGAATTTTTTTAAAAACAAATCCTATATTTTTATTTGATTACAGTAATTAAGTGGTAATAAGATAGATATTATCATCCAACTATTGTTGCAGAAAATATATTTCTCTTGAAAACAACATTTGCAATAATGTGACAATAACATAATGCTTTTTAATGTTTATATCCTTATATTACTATTCTTACCTAATAAGTTATCAAAAATTAATTCAAATCTATCTCAAAGACGGTGAAACACCTACATTTTTCATTCTCTCTCCCATTCATTGCTCATTTACTCCTCACCAACTGCAAAATTACTCTCAATTTAAATTTGCATTTCAAAAATAATTCAATTTATAGTTAAATTTGTATGTTGATTTGAAGTTGCCGACAAAAAAAATCAATCATAAAAAAAAATTTAACATTTGCCTTTGGCTAAGAATTTTGTAATTTGGCTAATTTACTGGCTATTCATTTGAAGTCCTTAGCGCGAGCCCTGATAGTAACAATATAATTTTTAACGGCGAATACAAAATTTAAAGTAACAAAGTGATTTTATTTTTCACAGCTTACAAATTTATTTCTTCATTTTAATGGGTTTGTTGATACAAATTGACTACCATACTATTATTTTTTCTCGTAACAAACCTATGAGTTTAATTACTTTAAACGTAACACCATATCAATTGAATTAAATTGCTGAATATTAAGTCTTTCTTCTTTCTAAGTAGCTTCTAATTTGCTTATTCACTGGGAAATTCGTTTAGTACAATAGAAAAGTATAATGGAATATTGAACAAAGATAGTTGGAATAAGTATACAGAGATAAAATATAGTAAGATAAAATAAATAATTTCAAGAACAATAATATGATGAATTCATTATATACATAAAAAAAACAGCTGATGTTGGAAACTACCAAGAATATTAAAAGTATTAATGCTAAAGCTGAACAGGGCTAAATCAAACAGAAAAATAAAACTTTTCAAATAGGCCATGATTTTATATTAATAATAATACATATAATAAAATATGCAACTTGAAGTGATAGTGTAAGATAAGAATAAAATAAAAAGTTTTTGATTTGAAAATAATAATTTGAATAAGTCTGGAATTCAACTTTATATTTGAAAATTTAAAATAATTCTTCTGTAAAGCATAAAAAAAGACATATATAGAGGAAGAATTTTTTTCTAATCTATAAAAGCTACACACATTTAAAGAATTGCTTTGATAAAAGCCTTAAAAATTTGGTATAATTCCTAATTTTAGCAGTAGAAGGGGATATTTCCACATTGTGATCTGTCACGCTAACTGCAATCGCCAAGGCACCAAATAGATTTTAGACTTGCAAAATTTTTTTAAAAAACATATGTAGATGCTTGCCCAAGGGTAGCTACGAGTTATACTCTTTTTGTGATGTTTCCTTCAGTTCTCGAGGGGGTGCTGCCCGGAAGTTGCTAAGAATTCGCGATTATTCTGCCACAGATCACGATACGGAAATTTCCCCCATAACAAAATATGTTTGTTAGTCTTAAAGCAATATTTTAAATTGGTCAAGCAGTCATTACAGTAACTAACAAAAAAAATTGTTTGACACTCAATTTCATTTGAAATTTATGAGTCTCCCCAAGTTTAAATGAGAGTATATGTACCTACATAATGGAAGCATAGATTAAAAATATTACAGCTGTCAACATTAATTCTTAAAATTATTATCAATTTTATATTTCAAAAATAAATATTTCGAGACATCCTTAAGTTTTATTTTCGATGCATTTTCACACAGCTTCTAAATATCCTAAATCATCATCTGGATCTTCTTCTTCATAAAAATCTTCCAAATCTTGAGTTGTAATACTTTCCATTACTTCAGTTTTCGTATATGGCATTTGAAGTTGTCCCCTTGCTTTTTTCTCCTTCTCATTTAAGTTCAGATTAAATGTGAGATTAGCAGTTGGATCTGGTTTCTTGGCCATAGGTTTCGCACTGTGTTTCAGGACTTCATTCACGGATATAAATGTAAAATTTGTTGGCGACACTTCATAATCATAAATGATTTGACCATAAGCTTTATTAGTAGTGGATGTAGTAATCAAAAACTTATTGTAATCATCCGAAAAACTTGCATCGATAACTGATGTGGCCAGATTATCAAAAATTGCTATTTCTTTATTAGAATGAACATCTTCATGCACCAGCGCCAAAACTTGCAATTTAGAATTCTCATTCAGCAATTTATATAAGAATCTATAAATTCCATCCGAACTTTCTTGTATAATTAATGAAGTTAGTGAATAAATACATAATAAACCCTCATGCTTTAAAAGCTTATCAAAATATGTCACGCTTATTGGTTGTTTATTGTTCCATAAAGTTAAAAACTCATCATTGACAACAAACTTATCTTGGTTGAAATTAAGACCAGAAATAATATCCTTAGCAGGACCATCAAGGCATAGTAAAGATATACTTAGATCAGATTTGCAATATAAATTCAAAATTGTTTTGAAAAGATTAAATCCTGGAAAATCAGTGGTGTCTTTAACCAATATAAATTTCATTCGTTCATCACCATACAGCTTATCTCGATTAAAATCGAAATATTGAGTCTTGGCTATTACTCGAGGCCCCATTTTTGATACACAATAATAGTCTCTCAAGCTGAAATAAAAGGTACTAATAAATAACAAATTTAACTAAATCAGTATGCGTAGGATCTAAATAAGATAAATGCTTTTAAATAAATGTATGTAATTTATACAATTCACTTACAAAAAATATATAGAACAATTTGAAATTTCTTGATACTGGTCTGAATTATTTAATTGTATATTTAAAAAAATTTTAATATTAGAAATATAAACAAATTTCGAAATCAACTTCCTCGCATTATTACCTGATTGTTGCCACTCAACACAATTTAAAGAAGTTCAGTGCTAAAGCTAAAAAATATTAACCAACTTTATTCGCAGCAGTAAAAGCAGGGAGCGCTGTTATCGCTCATGGAATTCGGTAAGTATGCTTCTAAAAATGCACTTGCGAAAGTACTGGCGAAAGTGCATTCACATTGCATGCGATTGCTCTAGACACGAGTGTGAATGTTTAGAAATTACTAAGGCTAATTACTAACTAACTAAGGATAATTACTCGCGTGTGAGTGACTGGCATTGACATGCAATAGCATATGCGACTATCATGCGGGGCCCGGAGAATGCTCGAGAACATAACCAAATCAGGAATGGTGTAATAGGAATGGGATCTCTTTGGATAAAAAGCTCAATTTCAGCAATAAAATCCCCATTCGTATATTTTATGTTTAAAATGTATCCCTAGTTACTGTAGTGCTAAAAAAATTAAATTATAAACTTCAAATTAAAAAAAAAGTACTCTAACTAAACAATCAAGCTATATTTCATTAAACTAATTTATACTATACTTTGTAAGACTAGTTTAAAATCTGCGATATTGGAGAACAATGATTTAAAACAAACAAACAAACCTGTAAATCAAACAGAAACGGTGTGAACGGCCAGCAGAGAAACAGCGAATTTAAAAGCATAGTTTTAAAAATATTAAAAACAATAAAAATAGTTTTTTTTATATTTTTAAGTCAAATGTTTAGCATATAAAATTGGTATAGAAAAAAAGCAAATAAAGTCTTGCATTAATATTTCTGCCTTGAAATTTTATCTTTGAAAATATCTAACTTAAGAGATTACCTATAGCCAAATGATTGTGTTCCAAATGTGCAAACTGGTGTGTGAAGCTGGCATGGGATGAAGATCCTGAATTTTAAGTATAATTTCCAACGTGTTGTTGCCATTACTAATACTAACATTTTTGAAAATGTTTATGTGTGGTTATTGCTATAATCTTGTAATAAAAGCAACGATATTAGTCGGGTATAATAAAAGAAAGAGAGCAAGTATTTTAAAATGTTCTTAAAAAACCCCTTCCTTTTTATTTTATAGCCGTCGTTGAACAGCCAACTAGTGTTCAACTCCTTAGCCTTGTAATTTTGAACCCAGTCCTTAAGACAAAGGAACTCATGGATCAAGCATAGGACGAAATTCGTCTTCGTGGAAAACTTTTTTGATGGAATGAACCCTCGTTTGCGTTACATGAAAAGGAAAACCACGAAAACCTCTCAGGGTTTGCCTGACAGCAAAGGTTATTTAAATCATGATCAGTTCACCACTGAGGATATTTCATGCCAGCATTGTGGTGTGTGCAAGCCGGATACGGAATACGTATTCTACCAGTCATCGCTGGGATTTGAACCCGGTTCACCTCATTAGAAGGCGAACGTTTAATCCCCTGAGCCATCACGGCTCTTTCCTTTTTATTGACTCGATTGCCATTCGTGGGGCAAGGGATCTTTTTCCAGTCTGTACTTCTCCTTGTCAAGGTGCTTCAGTTGTTCATTTTCAGAGCTTTGAAATCCTCATTAATGCATTCAACACACCTTAGTCAGGCCCTGCCTCTGGTTTGAGTTATAATTAATTTTTAATTAGATTCTAGATATTAAAAAGGATGGATTCATATTCATTCAAAGGATGGATAGACAGATGTTTCATTCTAAAGCAGGGGTCCCCAACCTTTTTGTACCTAAGAGCAATTACCAGAATATCGGTCGAATGGCGGGCACCATTTATTTTTTCAAGACAAATTTATAGTTGGTAGACATAGGTAATAATGCATACTACATATAGTGCACAAAAAATTTAATTTTAAAAATTAATTTAACATATGAATATAATTGGTATTAATATTCTTGTGTAAAATAAATTATTACTAAATTGCTTTCAAAACATACGAAGTATAAAAATTATTTATAAAATACAGTCAATGTGGTGTTTGGCATGGCATTTCGCTGCCAGCCCTACATAATTGGGAGAATATGATGCTCTTTTTAAGAATGGAATTTATTCCTTCAACTATATTCCAGAGTTTCTCATGTGATATAATAGTTTTGAGGATAATGTCATTCTGAAGATCCACAATTTCTATCTCCAATTCTTCTCGCTTTACTTGAAGAAATTCTGAAATGTATGTTGCTATTACGGTTACGTTTATTTGGTTGGTAAAAGGATTAACAAAAAAGTTATCAAAGGCTCAATGATATTAAATTGTTTAAAGCGCTTTTTAAATTGATATTTAAGCAATTGGAGGTTGATGACAAATGTTAATAAGTCAATTTCACTGTCACTTATAATTTTTTTCATGTTTGGAAAATGCACAAGAGACTTCATTTTCAAATGTGATATCCACAAAACTAGCTTAGCTCTGAACAAGTTTATAGCCTCTATCATTTTTGCTTTACGTTTGTCCTTTCCCTGCATCTCCAAGTTTAAATTATTTAGTTTTTCCATTATGTCCGTTATGAAAGACAAATCTGCTAGCCGAAGAGGATCTCTTAATTCTAAAAATGTTTGGTTTTTGGCTGGAAGATAATTTTTTATTTCTCCAATTAAATGTAGAAATCTATCAAGTACTTTGCCTTTACTGAGCCAGCGTACCTCTGTATGTATTTGCATAGCATTTATTAGGAAAATAGAAAACTGAAATATTTTATCGTTGGGCACAAGCAGCGGGAGCACCTAGATCGATCGACGGGCGCCATGGTGCCCGCGGGCATAGGGTTGGGGACCCCTGTTCTAAAGTATTTAATTTGATTATGTAAACTAGCTTTAACATCAGTACATTTCTTTACTCTGTTCACCCTAAAGTAATTTTCCTGGATTTTTTTCCCACCCTTATACATATTTTTTTGAGAATGTTCTGCTTAGTCAGATCATGAATTATGGCGTAAAAATTAGTGAATGAAGGTACGAGTGCTTCAATCACCCATAACTATACACCATAGTCGACGAGTTTTGTTTCGAAAGCCATGCTCGCTCGCGATTTTCCGCATTGTTGACTCTCGGGCACTTTTACTCGATGTGGTTTTATTAGGCTACTGTTTCCTAGCCTTATCTGGTAATCCTCACTGTAAGGCAACCCTTTGCCCTCCTCAATATAACACTAGCACTCATAAAATTGTAAACAAATCTTCGCCATCATGGACATTTTTAAAAGTTGCTTGTTACCTCAGTTAGGTAAAGATTTTATTCTCGTTTTAGATATGAAAAATTCTAATGACGAGAAAATAATACTTCGCTCTTCAAAGAAGGAAGAATGTTTTTTAAAAAATAACCTAAGAGTAATTTTAATCTTAAATCTTAGAAACATGAGGAAAATATTTTTGTCAAGCTGCTTAAACATTTTTCGAAAAAAATGCCAACTACTATAATGAAGATTAAAAAAAATATTCTTCAATAAAGCCATGACATAAAGAAACAAATCCAATACTATTTACAAATTACTACTGTTTTCGTGTAGTTAATTTTTAACTACACGAAAGTTATTTTCGAATTATTTTCTTATTGCGAGTTATTTTCTTATAACATCAATTATTATAACATCAATTGTTACCGTGGAGGCAAAATTTTTAATGTGTTCTAAATTTTTTGTGGAAAATTCCTTTATTTTCCTATGCTTTTTCTATCATCACTGTTATTTGTGCATATCTGAAATTATTTATCTGTTTTTAATTTGTTTTATTATTTGTTTTATCATTTATAATGCTTTTTACTTATTCTTTCATGATATGCTTCATTAGTTTCATTGCTTGCTCATCTTGTAACTTTCCATTCACAATTTTATAACTTTCGTTTATTCAATTCTATAACTGAATAATTGGTCTATTTATTTTACCATTAACTCTTTTTTTTATTCAATTTATGCTCTTCTAATAAAGTAATGGAAAAGATACAAAGAAAATTATAAATTTTTTGTCACTCTAAAATTATGAGGGCTTTATTTTCTCAATACAAAAACACATTTACTAAATTAAGGAAACTTATATGTATGTACACACATTAAAGTAGCAAAAATACTTTGCATTATCAAATATTTGATCATAAATATTAAGCAAATTTTGTGAGAAATAATCCAAGTAACAGTATAAATTTAAATTTTTTAATAAATTACTCTCCCCACACAAAATACTTAAAAAAAAAATAGGCATAAAGTCATTAGCTACAGTTGACTTGTCATTAGCAACTGTTGATCACCACATCAGTTGAAAAAAAAAATACTCGAAACTTATAAATTGTCCAGTAACTTTTATTAAAGGATTTAAAAAATAAACAATCTATAAGGCAACGGGTTGGACAAAATAATGGAACCACTTCTATCCTAACTTAATTTTTGATCTTTCTCAAAAAATACTTAGTGAATCATTTTAAATATTTAGAAATGTTTAGTATATGCGATTTCTCATACTTATCATTGAAGTTAAGGGTTTTCACAGGTTTGAGGGACCAACAATAAAGTACAAACCGAAAATGGTGTTTTTAAACCCCCTACGTCAACTATGTAGCAATAAATTTGTAACTTGTAACAATTATTTTGGTCAATATAACTACTCTATGCCATAACTGCTCTATAGTAAATAACGCATGACTCTACTGTATAAATTGATATGTCTTTATATTCATGAAAGTATCTATAGTTTCTTATAAATAATTGCTGTTTTAAATTTAAAAAACAATCCTAAGCGCTTATAATAAATAAGAGCTAGGAAGATTTTTTTTAAAAGTCAAGCCGCTAAAATTGCAATTTAAATCATAGCTTTTATTGTTTTGACACAAGTTGTTTGTTTTGTTTGTAAACACAATTAATTATGAAATTCATTATTCTTTTTAAATAATTTTTAAGTCTATTAAAAAACACTAGTAACATTTATAAAATATCGATTTTGAGTTTTTGTAGCTAAATTTTAAAAATTTTGATAAAGTGGTCTCTGTTTTTACTTTTATCTTTATTATTCCATGTTAATTCAGCACATTGAATATAGAACATTAGAAACAACAAATTTATTTTCTATATATTTTTTTTAAATTAACGAGATTGACATATCACAATAAGTCTCAATAAAATTCCGATAAAGAAATTAAATTAAATCTGCTGTCAAAAAATATAATAAAAACTGTGCATTGATAATCATTTCTATAAAAAAACTGCTTTTAATTCGTTCTTTTGAAATCATGTAACGTTTAAACAATTTAGGAATTTACAAACGACAACTGGTTCAAAAATGTTGGTGAAAATTATCAGCACTAGCGTTTCAAAAGTACTCAAATTACGAGCTAGTTCAACCTTGTTCTAACACTGATTAAACTCTGGAATAGAAATGGACATTAAGTGATAAACAAGAAATGCAAATAGTAACACATATTTAATGCATAAAAAAATTCGATAATTAAATAATCATATTGTTATAATTAAAATATCGATATTTCTTTATCGTTTGATCTTTATTTAAAAATTATACTTATAAGAAATGTTTATTTAGCGGCAGAAGATAATTTTTAAAGCAAAAAAGAACTTAAACAGTAGCTACATTTTTCAAAATTGAAAATTTCTTGCTTTAAATAGGTAAATTTATGATTTATATTTCGATTATTTTATTGCATTTTCTTTTTCATTTATTACGTAAGCGAAATACTTAAATCTCAAATGAATTTTATTAGTCTTGTATAAGCGTAGTAAAAATTGTCATAAAGTTGTGAATGGTTTGAATGATTAAAAGTTTTCGATAAAGAGAATATAAATGCTGATGAAGATTGATTATAATTTTCAACTTTTACTTTTTACTGTATCTATGCTTTATCTTATAAACTAGATTTAGGTGACGGAAATTATTCCATTGATTTAATATCCAGCAGTTATATGCAAAAGCTAACAGCTTAAGTTTGTAAAAACTAAAAAGAGTCCTTAACTTTTCATTATATTTAGTTTATAAACATTTATTAAATTGTATTCATTTGACGTGTAGTTGTTAAATTATATTTTAAAAATATTTTGTATACTTGTCTGATATGTATTTATTATTATTATACATGTATTATGATTTTAAAAATACTTTTTAATAATATAGAAATTTAAGGATTTTTCTATTTCTTAAAATATCTCATTGTGTCAGGATATTTTAAAATCAAAAAATTTTCTATCGGAAAAAATAGGAACAACATGATGATTTTATTCACATGCTTAAAATTAATGATGAAAAAATGTATATTGTAACGAATTTGAAAATATGTGAATAATTTTGTAAATATTCTTTTGTTATTAGGCTAAATATCTCAGACGGACCCTAAATAAACAGTTTAATTAGAAAATTAGACAGGAAATCACGTTAATTCTAACATAATTTAGAGAGAAAATAATGCTTAATGCATTTCTTATATATAAAAAAAATTGGAAAAAAAAACTCTGTTCGGCGACATTTTTGCCGATTTGCCGACTTAGCGATAATTGGAGAACATTTTGGTGACAAAATTATAGTACTGGAAAATTCGAGTTTCGAAGCAATAGGACCGATTTTTACGAAGTTATGCGAGAATCGTGTCGAATCATGTCGAAAGTTCCGGGGTTTCACAGAAAGTTTAGTTGTAGAAGTAAAGAGAACATTATAGTTCGTTTAAAATAAGAAGTCCTCCAGACATTCGTCTGGATCTGTGGTAGTGAGCATGGTAACGAGGTATAACTATTTCAAGTAGGGGTGCGGGGTCACTGTTTTGGAGTGGTTTCGTCGAGAGAAAGGGAATCTCTTCGGTCTATTGTGTTAGTCCTAGAGTTAGTCCCTAAAATACGCCATACTTGTTTCCATAGCACCAGAAGGCTTCAGATTTTGTGGTGGGAGGAGTTCTTAGCTTAGACAAACTATAGTCTGTTTGTGACTGCCATAATGTTCTGATGCTTCACGGCCTATCATCTGTTGTAGCCGGTTAGTCGTGCTGTAATTGAGTGTTGAAAATTCCCGTATTTTCGGGAAAGATTCTAGTCATAAATTTTTGGAGTCTTATAAGGACTGCTTTTTTCATTCCCATCATTTTCCACACCAACCTCTCTGCTAGGTACAATATTAAACAAGTCCTTACTTTAAAATATTGAGATTAAGTAAGAACTATTGGTTTAAGGCGTGTAAAAATTGTATAAGCACAAGAAAATCGATATTTTTTGTTAAATAATGATTTTCTAATCATGCGAGTTAAAAATTAGGTTTTATAGAATAAAATCGTCCAAGGCTGTTAAAGTATACCTAAGAGCTACTTGGTTGTTAATTGGTTGGTTGCTTGGATTCGGATTTCTGACCTCCAAAGTATAAGGGGTAGCCGCAATGTGGGAAAAATCCCTTAGAAAAATTTAAGATGTTTTTGCGTTCATTTGAAGTTGCTTTGAGGTGTTAGGGTAAATTTAAGGTTTATTTGTAGTTGACTTCAAAAACAACTTTAAAGAATCAAATTTCCAAGGAGTATAATCAAGGTGTATGGAGCATTAATTGGAGCTGGGCTCTTAGAAAAGTTAGGAGTGTCGGAATTAGAGTCGAACATTTAAACTACAGATTTTAAAACTCTGGTTGATGCACTGTGAAAAAAAGTATGATTAAAACTATCAGAATGTAGTAAAAATTACGGCTTTTCTGACTATGAGAACACCAAAACGTTCGCTAATTTTTACCGAAGAGCTTTTGTAATGATTTTGGTAAAAGTAACAATTAAATGTGTTCGATATATGTATTATATATATATATATATACATATATATATATATGAATTTGAAATGAAGTTGAAGAACTAACAGTTGAAAACTAAACGCAAGATCCTGTGACATTTTACTGGTTTGATAAAATCAGCATTAAAACCATGCAGTATTCTGGCAAAATAGTTTTTTTTTTCTAATAAAATGTAAGCTATTCTAATACTTTCTATGATATCAAATATTCAATAGATTATGGAAAATATTAGAATATCTGGAATTATTCAATAAAACACATTTTTCCACAGAGATTTAATAATGTGAAATGAATTAAACCTAAAAAAAAAAAATTAAAGATGTGTATTGTATCCAGTTGAGTTGTAAATTTATTTTACTTCTTGAGGAAATCTATAGCCTATAGTCAATGTGTATTTATATAAAGTTCATTAAATGGTTATAATACTTCTCATTTATTTGTATAGGAAAATAAAATAACATAATGAATTTGTTTGGCATAAATGAATTCGAAGAGCGTAGACAATTTTTTTTGAAACTATTAAAGAAACTTGAAGAAATACCTAGTTGTCCTTCATTAAACATTAATAGTTCTCAGAAAATATACCATACTTCACAAGACAGCCATCAAGGTATAATGCATTTTTGTTCAAAAGAGATAAATTTGAAGTCCACTCTAAATAGTGATTCGAAACCATTGCAAGAACCAAAAGTGGAAACATTGCAGAATTTTTTTCACTCATTTTTCCAGAAAAGCCTCCAGTTGAGAAATTATAATTTGAGTGATAAAAATCTATGTAACACCATCATTTGTGCTGATCCTAGCATTAAAAAAATGAAAAAATTTTCAAATGGACTACTAGCTTTGGCACAAAACATGTCGAGTAATGCTCAAACTAAAATCCAAAGTTTGGAATGTGTTCCATTACATGTATGTAGTATATTTGAAAAAATTTCTGATCAAAGTATGATTAGAGTTAAACAGAAAGGCAATTATGGTCAGATATTTTCATTAGACTTAAATGAAGCAAGCAACGAAGAGATTTCAATTTTTAACGACAATATAAATATATTTTCAAATCTCTTTCCATTTTTTGATAATTTTAGCAATCAAAATATTTTTTCTGAAAATGTCAATATTCTTTCAAAAGATAAACAAAAGTTTGATGCTCCTTTTAATGTCATTTTAGATTTAAATAAGAATTACATTAAAAAAGCTACGAATTACTGTCTTGATTATCGAAGTTTGATTGCAATTTTTTTGTTATGGTTAAAGAACGTTTTACCACAAAATGTACCTTTTAAAGAAAATTTTTTTTCTCTAAGCAAAATGCTTGTAGGGTCATTTGTTTGCAAGAAATTCCGAGTTGAATTGGTTGAATTAAAAGAAACACTTACAACAATTAAAATATTCAATAATACAATAAATAACACTTTTTTGATAGAAAATGCAAAAGCATTAACGTATTCACCTGAATGTTTTAACGACTCAATAATAAAGAAGTTCGATTACGCAGTTTCTATGAAATTAGGAAACTCAGGTTATCATTCCGCTTTCAGAAACAGAGTTATATCAAAGCATAAATTTTTTAACGGAAGCTATGGAGATAGTAGCCTTCAAGAGGTTTCTCTGAATAAAGTTACTGAAGATGCATTTTGTCAACAAATACATAATTTAAATCTATGCAAGCAATACGGTTTTCATGATAGCACTTCTCGAATAGATAGCACTCCTTGCAAAGATCCCATTCTTCAAAAAGATCCCACTCCTCAAAAAGATATCACTCCTCAAAAAGGTACCACAGCACAAAAAACCCTTATTCTCTGCAGAAAAATAGAAGATAAAACAAGCTCAGGTCATAACCAAATGAAACATCCTAAAGGCTTTGTTAGTTCGAATAAAAAAATGCTTATGAAAAGTAATACCTCATTACTAGCCTTCCAACTAAACAGAAGAAACATAGTCTTTAAATATAGAAGAGTTAACATCAGTAGATTATGCAATGATGCTAAATTACTCTCTGAGAAGATAATTAAAAAGTATCGCCGTCTAATGGAGAAAAAAGCAAAAATCCGCAAAACTAAATTAAATCGTAACTGCAAAAGCTATTCTAACAATGCTAGGTTTAATTCATTAGAGAAGACATATGTCTCGGAATCAAAAACCAAAAGTTCCAAAAGGCATTATGAAGAAAATAGTTTACATTTTGGATTAATGTCATCGAAAAACAACAATAAGAATTCAATCACTGAGAGAAATTCGCTAATAATGATGATTTCAAAAAGTTCAGTAATTTCGAACACGTGTTATAACTTGTCTTCTAGTGCGATGTCTCTCCATAGTTTTGGGAAAGTAAAATCTGATTTAAGCTATCCATTCAACAAGATGCTTGACTTCTCCAAAAAATACGAAATAGCAAATTTTTCTGAAGCTCAATCACTACAGAGTTTTCCGCAGACTTCCAAGTATTTTTTAAATAAAAAATCGACAATGAATGATCCATTAATGATAGATTCCGTTATAGAACCTAAAGAGAAGCATGCTGCATGCCAAACTGATATGTTAAACGAATCCTTTGAGAAATTTGTAGACTTAAACGCATTTATTTTGCTAAATCAAGCCAAGAGTGATAATGAAAATAAAGATCCTGATACTTTCAAAAATAGCAATCCTGGAACCAACAGAATTTTAAAACCGTTAACAACAGTACCAAATAAAAGAAGAGCTTTATTTGCTAAACATGAACATGAATCAGTTGTTGACTCAGCTATTAAACCAATTAATTCACCAGGTAAAATTTACCTGCCTACTACTCATTCGGATGCTCCAAGATCAAAACCTATTGAAGATCAACTTGTGCCTAATCAGAAGAATGTAGTTGATGAAGAAACATTCCATGCTGAAGTGGCCAATAGTAAGCCTTTATTTTTAATTCCAATTAAGTTTAAATTTAATCTTTTAATTTACTTGTTTTTCAAAGATGGTCAAGTTGATAATTTAATGGAATCAGAATTGAGGTTCCTAAAGACATATATTTTTCCTTTTTTTTTTACTAAGATGAAATTTTATAAGCATTGGGGAGCTATATACTATTGAGAGACTTTACTGCAAGCCAAATAAGATGCTAAATTGAACCATATATAATTGCATAAGTTAATCCCAGCTCAGTTATTCCATATATACTCCATATATACGGTATTGTATCCTAAACGGGAACAAGCTTCCCCTTATCATCGTATTAAGGTTACAGTGACTTTCCTCAATAATTTGATACCCCAAGTACCAATATTATGGTTCAAGTTTGCAATGATTTTTCTAAGAGTAAAATCGATTGTATCAATAACCGATTGATAACGAATATTATAAACTTTTTCCTAAATTCTTAATACATTGTGAAAAGCAAATTTCTGCTCTAGATTTTAATTTTTTCCCTTTATCATAAATTGACAGAAAAATAGATCTACTTATTAAAAAGAGCAACATGATTTAAAGAAATAAGCTTTACTGTAAAACAGAATGGACTATTTCCTTACATTTTAGAGCTGTCAAAAATACGTTAATGTTTTTAAATACATTAATTACATCAAAAGTACATCGATGATTTCCAATTACTTTTATTGCTAAATCAAAGTTTATGATTTCATTGTTTCATATTTTGTTTACAATATCTATTTGAAGGAATTATGAAGTATGAAATGTTTTTCGAATTTTATTTATCTAAAAGTTCATACCTTTTACAAGGATATACTTCGAGGTGTTTAATGAAAATTTTATCAAATAATATGCATTGAAACCAGATTCTCTCATCCCTTCACAGTTGCTGACCAAGTGACTTGATTGTGACTACATTTTTATGAAAGTTGTATGAAAGTTAAATACATCCTTTATGATTTAAGCAAGAGTCATTAAAATTTCGCAAAATAATCACCAGTATTACTATATTGTTGAATGTAATTTACTCTATAAATATCAACGACATCTAAGTCATTAGAAATTAAAATTATGAAATAATTAACCTTAATTTTGCGATTATTTGAAAGAAACTACAAATTTTTGCTAGTTAGGACGTCAAGATATTTTATTTAATTTCGATAATTTATCTATACTTACTGATAATACATTTTAAGGTTGAATGGGATAAAATAAAAAAGTTAACCACAAAAATTATTTCGTATTCTTTTTTTAATTTTTATAAAGTCATAAATCCCTCGCATCCATTAATTAATTCAATAAAAATCATAAAGAGTTAACCAATAAGTAGATTTTAAAGTTAATTGATTTATGTTTATTAAGTTTACTGAGCTCAGAGAAATGCGTAAAGGCTTCTTTGCATTTATTTTCACTCATATCAATAAGCTTTTCCTTTGTTTAATAATAAAGAGCCATCAGTAAAAATGATAATAATGGTCGAAAAATTTCTAAAAAAATATAGTGAACAGAAAAGGAGGATTTCCTCGAATTATTCCAAGTACTGATTCTTTTTTTATTTGATATGATAATACGATATCCTTATAGAATAAATTTAAAACTATTTATCTCACTTTTCACTACATAAGTTAAAATGAGACTTTTTAATTATTATTCTCATGATAAAGTGAAGTTTGTCCAGTTATAGAGTAAAAAAAAAAATTAAAAAAAAATTGAGAACAATTTTGAAATAATAATGCCTTGGTCCTCCAAAACCACACAAAAGTATTTTGATAAAAGATTTTCATTTTCATTCAACCATTTTCTAATTTTCTTTAGGATATACCTTTAGAACCAACTAAATATATACCTCAAGGACTACCCTTAAGACCAACTTAAAAACTACTAACTTCATTTGACCTACTAAAATTTATTTTTTAATTTAGTGGGCGTATGCCTGTTAGCTGGTTGCTCAATACATCTTCTTTTATTTGTTTTTGAGTCAAATTCAGTCTACAGAGCAGTTAAAATTTAGCCTTCGGTAAGATTTTATCTTGTGTAGTTTAAAATATAACATTGAGTTTGCCATAGTTTATTTTAAGTTATTAGATTTTTGTGCTGTTTAGTATTGCAATGAAATATTTTAAACTTACTTTTCTTTACAATTCCTTTCTTGAAATTTTTTTTCAATTTATTTTGAAATTATTGAATAGTAAATGCATTAATTATTACAGGTGATCCGAAAGATTTGAGAAAGAAAACAATTTTGGAAATGGAAAGATATAAAGTAAGAGTAGGTCTTTCTCGGAAACAGCGTGTGAAACCGCTTCATCCTTATTTAAAACGATGAGGCTTTTATCAAGAAATTTTTTTTCATGGCTTTTTCATTTTCCAAAATAGTTGGAAATTCTGTAAAATTTTGCACCTCAGAGAGCATAATAAACTTAAACAATGTTATAATTAACACACTTTCGCTACCGTTCAGTCTCTTTGCATTCCTTTAAAGATGTGAAGTTTAACTTAATAAATATTTTCTTTATAATTACTTGATATTTATGAAATAAAGGACAATGAGAAACGAAGAAATTATTAGAACTCTATTCTGCATTTGAAACATGCATTAATGACAGGAAATCTGTCAATAAATAGACAACATTTTTAAAAGTCGATTTCACAGGAACTATTTAACTTATTTCGCTTAAATTTTGCACTTGGCCAAGCACAATGATATCGCATGCTTTACAATAAAAAAATTTTTTACCGTGATTAAATAAAATAATAAAAAATACTAAATATTTGCTAAAATTTATTTTTTTTTACGAATTTTATAGTTGTGTGCAAAATGTTTTAAATTCGTTCGAAAAATTCTGGAGATTTGGCGAAAAACGCAAAAATGAAATTAACATTAAGGGGTCCAAACTTTGAATCGCTGTCTTGACAAAGCTATGGGGATCATATTTCCCAGATTGCTGTTACCCCTATAACTAGGGAGTTAGAAATCTGAATTCGTTCGAAAAAAGAGGTATGTTTATTCAGAGAAAATGCGTGTCTGATTTCGTGACTTTAAAAAAATAATTTGCACTAATTAATTAGCATATTTAAGGTCACTCTCTCGTACAATTAAGATTGAGTCCCAGAGCATGAATATTCGATCATTAGATCAAAAGTTATTCAGAGTGGTTCGTTTTTTCTTTTCTTCTTTTCCTCCCTTGTTTTGATGCATTGTACGAAAGCTTCATTTCTACATAACACTTTCTATTTGAATAACGCTCGGATGACTATTATGGTAAAAAAAAAAGGAAAAAAAGAAAGAAGATAAGCGTACCATAAAAGATTATTTTTATTAATATCTAAAGGGGATTTAAATATTTTTTCCAATTTATTAAAATAAACTTTAAAAAATTTTTTTAGAAAATAAAATATAGCTATGAGAAATCGAAAATCAATTATACAACTGCAGAAAAGAAAAAGCAGAATTATGTTATATAATGAAACGGATAAAACTGTTTCAATATTTAAAAAAAGAAAGAAAAAGAACACAAATTTAGTTTATTTCATTATAATTTAATATCGTGTAACGTACAACAAAAACAGAGATAAATAAAGTATTATAAATGTAATTATAAAAAGTATTTGAAGCTTTTTTTTCTTTCTTTATAAATGCTTCCACTTATCAGTAACGGAGTCTAAAACGAAAGCTTTGATGATAAGACAATATCCTTCATGAAAGAACAAACAGGATATAAATGATCTTTTTCCGTGAACAAAAGAAAAAGCGATAAGAAAAAGAATACAAGGAATTCCAAGCATGGCCTATGTTCTAAATTAGAATCAGTACTAATAATCACAATGCTCTAGATCACCAGAATAGTTTTTCCCATTGATTAAACGTTGACCTTTTTAGATATCCTGGTCTACGGTAGTTGACGTATGATAAAGTACTCGATCATTTTGTATTATATATTTATCCAGTACAATAAAAATATTGTTTAAACCTGGACTCTAAAAACAAACGTTCTACTCTGTTTCAAAGAATTAAGCACCCTTCTCTTAGTAAGCTGCAAAAATTTGTACAAATTCACATGAATGGGAGAGCAAAATAAATATGGCAATTTAATGTTTTTGTATCTGATACAATTTTTTAATGTTGAATCGAGTGATACCGAACACGAGACAATCGAGCTCAAAAGTTGCAATGATAAAATGGCTTTTATTATGTATAAAAAAATAGAATTTTTGGCTTTTAGCTAAGTATAATTTTTTTTTTCTAAACTGTTTATCTTATCAACTCGGATTTGTTTACTTTTAATTCACAAAATACAAGATAAACAATATCTAAATGTTTTTAGGGACCAAAAAAATGCGTGGAGCACGGGCTTACTTGTCAAGATAGCCTCAAAATAGCAATGTCAGAGATTTTTTTTTTAAAAAAAGGAGAAAAAAACTGAATTTTTTGTTGCACAAAAAAGTCTTGACAAAGCTCTGTTGACTCATTTTTGCTTCCAACGATTTAGGGAAAGCATACACTGCAAACACTATATAGCAATGCTAGACAATTTCACCATATAGCAATATTTGATGCATATATAGGTACAAGGTAATCAATGTACAGTGCACCCCCCCAAAAAAAAAAAACAAAAAAACGGACTACCCGGAATAACTTTTTCTTTCGGATCTTCACGTTCTAAGATTTATTCTTAATAGATAGAGAGGATGACTTCAAATAAGCTATTTAATTAGAGCAGACGATATCTTAAGTTACGAAATCGGATACCGAAACGTACTTTAAATAAAAATACCTTGTTTTCAAATTTTTGCACACAATTCTTAAACTCGTTTTTTTTTAAAGGTAATTTCCATGCAAGAAATGCATTTCAGTAAATATTTTTAATTTAATCGGATACCGAAACGTACTTTCTCTAAATAAAAATACCTTGTTTTCAAATTTTTGCACGCAATTCTTAAACTCGTTTTTTTTAAAGGTAATTTCCATGCAAGAAATGCATTTTAGTAAATATTTTTAATTTAATCGGATACCGAAACGTACTTTCTCTAAATAAAAATACCTTGTTTTCAAATTTTTGCACTCAATTCTTAAACTCGTTTTTTTTAAGGGTAATTTCCATGCAAGAAATGCATTTTAGTAAATATTTTTAATTTAATCAAATAAAAGTCGAAAGATTTTGAATTGTAAAGTATACAATTTTTACGCCATTTTAAAGTATGTAATTTTACATAGCAAAACATAATTACTAGGGCAGAACAGGTTGAATAGTTTTTGTTTCTCAGGGACTATTCAGCCCATTTTGCCCAAATTTTGTATTTAACCATGCAAAATAACATACTTTAAAATGACGTAAAACACTTTATACCTTACAATTCAAATTTTTTTTTACTATTATTGAATAAATTAATTAATACTTACTAAAATTTACTTTTTACACGGAATTATATTGGAAAAACGAATTTTATAACTGTGTGTAAAATTAAAAAAATTATCTAGATAAGACGAAATATGCAAAAAGTAAAATCAATATTATATGGATACTTTGGATCACTCTCCTGACCAAACCATGAGGACCATACTTCCCAGATTGTGGCTATTCCCTATATTTTAGGTGTCTGAAATCAAAATCTGTTGAAAAAAATGGTCTGTTCATTCAGAGAAAGTATGTTTTTGTGCCCGATTTCGCAACTGAAAATATCGACTACATCAATTAATTAGCATATTTGATGTCACCCATTTCATCTACTCAGAATGAGTCCCAGAACGTGAAGATCCGATCATTAGATCAAAAGTTATTCAGGGTGGTCCGTTTTTATTTTGACGCACTGCACAAATTAATCAATATTTGTGCATAAAACCGATTAAATGTTATCGTCTCAAACTTGTTTTATTTCCATTTAGGGAAAAAAAATATACACAGAGAACAACGCCGCATTTGTCCAGTTATCAATATTTAAGTTATTTCATTTCAGTTACAACGTACCACCAAAACTCGTCAAGTCAAGTAGTTTTTTATCTCTTACTAAGAGGAGGTTTTTTCTTAAACAGCTTTCCACAGTTGGAACTTTTATTTTAGAAGTCTAAGGTTTGATGATTTTTAGCAATCTTAACTGTATTATTAATCTTTCAACTTTTCATAAAGAAAACAGTTGCATGCTTCTTCTCTTTTTTTTTTTTTTTTGTAACATAATGGGGTCTTCAAGTCAAACCACAAAAATCGTTTATTTTAATAAAAATTTTAAAATGAATAAAGTGTTCCGAAATCATTTCCTAAAATATGTATTTAAAAATCCTTTGACAAATATGAAGTAAGAAATATGTATACAATATGGGTATCACATTGATATTTAAGAGGAGAAACCAGAAATCAGTTATTAAAATTTAACTAATCATAAACGAAAAAATTCAGAATACAAAAATCAAAACCGATTTGATAACGGAAAAGAACTGAGAGGAAGGAAAAGACGATTAATAAAGAACTTTCATGTTCCTTCAAATTTCATCTTTCAATCAAACTGATTTCGATGATTTTAATTACATTTTCCTCAATACTGATTAGTCAAATTTTGATAACTTGCCCCCTTATCCAAACAATAATTTGACTCCATTAATGTTTTTTTTTTTTTTTTTTGCTTAACTATTTTTCTTTAACTTTTTTAATGGTTTTTTCAGCTACTTTGTGACCCCAGTACTTTTACATTGTCGAATCAATTACACGAGCATTTTTATGTTTCCTAAACTGAAACTTTCTTTCGGCGATATTTTTGGCCCATACCTTTTTTCTCATTTTGTTTAAGAATAATTTTTTCAACAAAATACAAAGTCTTTATTTCAAGTAAAATCTTAGTAGTTTATTGACTTTTGCTAAACAATTTATGTACTTAACTTTCACTAATTAAAATAATAATAACTGAAATAGAGATTAAGAGTTTTTTAAAATTTGGTTGAGAAAATTAATTTAATAAAAGTATTTAATAAAATGGATTTGCATAATATCCTAACGTGCCGGCGACGATAAACTGGTGTAAAGACGCAAGTCCATGTGGGAACAGTAGCACGGATTAAATAATGCATAATATAACAATTAAACGAACAATAATATAATTATATTATATATAATTATTTATAACGAATTTAATTAAAGGGTGTTATTTTAAACTTTCTATAATGAGAATCAGTAAACCAATCAGAATTCCTTACTTTATTTGCATTGTATTGTTCCGAAATTTTAATGTGTAATACATAAATCTTCTTAGCTGCTTGAGTAACGATGATTTTTGAAAATTTTTAATTTTTTTGGTAGATCATCAAGTTTTATTTGTAGGTTGAGCGAAAAATTACATTTTTTAGGTAGTAGAGTGATTAGTTTAGGTATACGTTAGCTCACATACTGGTAGGAAATTTAACTTAAATGTGATTATTAATTGAAAAATAATTTGGA